TGTGGCTCATCGTTTCCACTTGGGTCCTCTTCGGCTTGCCTCTCCAACACAACTTTTGTAGCCTTTCAAGTAGTCTTGTATTTTTTTAAGTTTAGAGTTTTTTTTTTCTCTCCCTAGAGTTTTTTTTCTCTCCCTCTCTGATTCTGCTCTCACTTTGAGGTTGGGCTCTCTTTAGCCTCTTCTCATGGTTCATTCCTCTCACTTTGGATCTTTCCTAGTTTCTATGTGTGCTTGCTTAGGAAGGGTCTTCTTACTGGTTCTGCGTACTCTGTGGTGGGTATAATGTCTTGAAGGACCCATTGTTTAGGTCGCAACCCAATTATGCTGATGAAACATCAGTACTGGAATAATTATGTAAAGAAACTTCATAAATGACTACATTTCGCTCATGTGGAAAGGAGTAACATACCTTGTCACTTAGAGGAATTGTTAAGAAACTGGGGAAAACGCAGAAGTGCACAACGAGGCTTGTTCCTGAGTTAGCTAATGGAATTTAATATAGCGACATTGAAGGATAGAAGAACTCGGGGGAATTGATAGAGTAGCCAGGGACAGGCTGTTTGAGAGGCGAGAAGCGGGAACTCGGGAACATAGCAGATAAAGATATAGATGTACCACAGGCATGTCGGGAAGTATTTCTTCAATCTCAGGATGGTCAGAAAGTGGAATGATCTCTGTGAACGAGACTTCATGCATAGCGTGAAGAAGTACGATAAAGTCCACGAAGTTAGGATGGAGGGAATCTAGCAAGCGGCAAGTTGAAAGACGGATCCAAGACCTAAGACTTAACTTCTGCAGCCACATATAGGCGAGTACAACACTTAACACTGAAAAATAAGTTGTTGTACTGAAAAGTACAACTATACTGAAAAGTACAAATTTTATACTAAAACGAACAACACTTAACCCAAACAAAAATTCTCAGATCTCCCAGTGGCTCTTAAAAAAAAAAAATACTATTTCTTGTTGCAGCATTACAAAATGTAGTTTACATGTAATAAAATAGTACTGAGAACCAAAGAAAGCCACTAGCATAGAGTGGATTGCGGGTGTTTTAGTTTTCCTTTTTACTTGTTCCACTCGAGTCCGTTCTTGTCTGGCGGGAGATTCGTCTGTAAAAACTTGCATTCGTGGTCACAGTGATGCCTATTCTAACGTTCCTATGGTGTATAAATATACCTAGTTGGATGAATCTTATTGTAGCCAGCTGGTCCAGTGGCTAATGCGTCGGTCTGGAGTTTAATGACTGACCGCGGGTTCTATTCCCTACCCGTGGTATGGTTTATCATCTACCCCTGACCCCATACTCATCCAGTGATATGAGGTTCAGATCCTCCAGTCCTTTCCTCGTAGCTCATGTCCTTCAGCTTCTGGATTAGCAAGCCTCTTGAAGCAGGTACTGGCTCCATACTGACGATGTGCTTAAAATTGGCGTACAGCATCATGAATAAAATCCTTTATTTAGGCTCCTGAAGGCAGTTCGTACCAGTCGTGTGCAAGCCACTGACGTGATAAGGTTCGTGTTCCCCTGAAGAAAAGAGTTCGATGTGTATTTTCCTAGTGTATTATCTAGCACCCTGCAGTTTGTTCAGCTGGTAGATCGAGTTGCCTAAGAGCCGACAGTATTAAAGAAAACGCGATGCACAGCAATCTTGTACCGAGTCTTGGTATCGTCCTCTGTATTCTTCTAGTCATTCATCGTGATCAGTCAGTGAGATATACCTTCGATCTTTGATATACCGTTGATGTGTTTAGAGAGTTTCTACTACCGGAGCCCGATCATAGGCCAGGCTTGTCTGGTGCTAGCCTGGCCAACCAGGGTGTTACTGCTGGTGGCCTGCTGCCCAGCATATCTATCACAGCCTGGTTCATCTGGCACCTGGTGAAGATATTTGACCAGTTTCCTCTTGAAGATTTCTACATCTGTTCCAGCAGTGTTTCTGATATCTTCTGATAAGATGTTGAATAGTCCGAGGCTACAGATGTTGATACAGTGTTCTCTTATTGTACCCACCGCACCCCTGATTTTCACTTCCTCCCACATCTCTCGCTCCAGTTTGTTATTGGCTGTGTGTAGATTTGGGACCAGGCCCTCGAGTACTTAAATATGTCTGTCATCTCCGCTCCAGTGAGAATATTTTTACTAAGTCGTTCCCAGCAATTTAAAGGCTTTACTGGCTCTATGCGGTATACCTGGAGGGTGTTCCAGGGATCAACGCCCCCGTGGCCCGGACTATGACCAGGCCTCGTAGTGGATCAGGGCCTGATCAACCAAGCTGTTACTGCTGGCCACACACAAACCGACGTAAGAACCACAGCCCGGTGTTTGGATATTTTCCATCTAGTAAGTCATTTACATAATGCAGGTTTATTTCAGCATGATACATAGCTTATACAGAAATGGGTGCACGCATGTTGCATAGTTATTCAGAGCATTTCTGATATCGGAAATAGTCACACGACTGATATCTTGGTTAGTATTACCAATTACTGTTGTACACTCTCAACATGTGTCCCTTCTACCTTCTAAGTATTGCTATTAAGCGAGGGTAGTTGTAAATTCTGGAAATCAAGAGCCCTTTGACAGCATGAAGCTCTGCGCAGAGTGAAACTAAATTATTGTGGCTTTCTTCTTGGCTCTTGTGACAGTTTTTTTGCTATTGTTAAATGAGCTGGGTACTCTGTTCTTGAATTATATATATATATATATATATATATAATATATATATATATATATATATATATATATAAAAATATATATATCAATACCTTGTTATTTATATATGCATGTACTCTGTACGTGCCTGTCATTGTTTCCCATATGTTGAAAGTTAACAGTGTAATCGTTTGATGACTGAAATATGTACTCTGTTTATGACTATAAAATATGTACTCTGTTTATGACTGAAATACTGTAAGCACTTTGAAATATGCACTGTATGCCCGAAATATGTATTTTGCGTGATATGCACTGTGTGTTTTGTTTATGGTTGTGAAATATGTTCTTCTTTTGAACTGTGCTCTGTTTATGATTGCCTAACTCAGGAAAGGAGAGATATCACAGCAGGAACAGATGCAGGGATCTTGTACTCTCCAAACAGGGCCAATAAAGCAGTTAATATATTGGAAACCCCTCATAGTATCGAATAGGTACTCTCTGGAGTGGAGGAGAGAGAGATAGTACATGATAATATATACCTGGAAAATACTTATTGGCCTAGTTGCATACCTACACACTACTGTAACAACGTACCGGAGTGAGAGATACAGGTGTTTATCTGGAGAGAGTTCCGGGGGCCAACGCCCCCGCAACCCGGTCTGTGACCAGGTGTAAGTGTGAAATATACATAGTGAAAAGTAGGGGCACCTTGGGCAGAACATTCATGGTCCAATACTATTCAACTTGCTACCCTCAGATACAGGAGGGCCCCACATATACAACAGGTTTAGGCTACTGCTGTCAAGTGAAACACATTTTTTTTCACTTTCAAATACATATAAAAGCCTGATAATATGTTTACACTGTCATATACTAAGTGAGCAGTAGAGCTAGGCCTAAAAAGTACATATACAGTACATGCATTACTTTAAATATTTTCCTCCGTAGTTTATAATGAGTGGTCAATATATTTATTGTAGGAAGTCTGAATAAATGTTGTAATTTTGGGCCCACCTGTATCAGAAATACTGCTGGAACAAGTGTGGAAGCCTTCAAGAGGAAACTGGATCACTACCTCTGCCAGGTGCTGGGTCATCCAGGCTGTGATGGATATGTGGGCTAATGGATTGCCAACAGCAATAGCCTGGTTTACCAAGGAAGTAACAGAAAAAAACTAGCCTCAGGCCAGGCAGTAGGAACTTTCTCAAACCAATCACAAAGTATATGAAAAATTTACCACTCTCATGATTGTATGTGGTAACTGCCACCCATATTATGAGTAGTATTTAGTGACTACCATCCACATGATGGGTATGTGATAGCAGTTTTGTTATGTATTTATCACTTTTAAATGTGTTAATGGCTCTGGGAATCATGTCTCCCACAGTCCAGTCACAGACCAGTCTCCCACAGTCCAGTCACAGACCAGTCTCCCATAGTCCAGTCACAGACCAGTCTCCCATAGTCCAGTCACAGACCAGTCTCCCATAGTCCAGTCACAGACCAGTCTCCCACAGTCCAGTCACAGACCAGTCTCCCACAGTCCAGTCACAGACCAGTCTCCCACAGTCCAGTCACAGACCAGTCTCCCACAGTCCAGTCACAGACCAGTCTCCCACAGTCCAGTCACAGACCAGTCTCCCACAGTCCAGTCACAGACCAGTCTCCCACAGTCCAGTCACAGACCAGTCTCCCACAGTTCAGTCACAGACCAGTCTCCCACAGTCCAGTCACAGACCAGTCTCCCACAGTCCAGTCACAGACCAGTCTCCCACAGTCCAGCCACAGACCAGTCTCCCACAGCCCAGTCACAGACCAGTCTCCCACAGTCCAGTCACAGACCAGTTTCCTACACCCATCACAGACCAGTCTCCCACAGATGAGCCACAGACTGGTCTCCCACAGCCATCACAGACCAGTCTCCCACAGATGAGTCACAGACCAGTTTCCTACACCCATCACAGACCAGTTTCCTACACCCATCACAGACCAGTCTCCCACAGATGAGTCACAGACCAGTTTCCTACAGCCATCACAGACCAGTCTCCCACAGATGAGTCAGACCAGTCTCCCACAGATGAGTCAGACCAGTCTCCCACAGCCATCACAAACCAGTCTCCCACAGATGAGTCACAGACCTGTCTCCTACAGTCCAGTCATAGACCAGTCCCACAAACCAGTCTTCCACTGCCTAGTCACAGACCAGTCCCACAGACCCATCTGCAACCCAGTCACAGACCAATCCCCCATAACAGTCTCACATCATACCTCTTAAATTTAGTGTTACACATAGTGTAATTTTGTTTATTTTGTTATGGTAATGTTCTTGTGTTCATTGCAGTGTACATCGACCCAGACAGTGACTCTGGCACTGAGAAGGACGAACACGAGGATATTATACACGACACTATTAAGAACGATATAGAGGAAGTGAGTGAGGAGGTAAGTGAACATGTTTTGTGTCTGTGGTAGTGAAGGTAGAGAGAAAAAGCAGGTGGTGAAGTCTAAATCTAAGTGAAGTCAGAATAAGTGGTAGGAGGTATCAGAAACTAGTAAAAAGTCTTAACTCAAACTATTCTGAGTTATGTCTGAATTTTTGATAGAGGGTTTTTAACAGAAGATTAAGCCACCAAGTCTATCGATTAAAATTGCTTATACAACTTACGGCAACATTTTGGTCCAACTTGGACCATTATCTATGTTATTAGTGGCATCTCACAGAAGCAAATGCTTTGTTTGGAGCATTCACAGAGACATGCTAGGAATGCTGTAGAAAGTGACATGAGTAAAAAATAAATAAAATAAAAGGTTTATAGATGTGAGAGTGTAAAATGTCACAGGAAGTAGTAGTAGGACCTTGTAAAAGAACCACTTTGCCTGGAACCAAAAGTTAAAAGAACCTACTGGCTATTAGAATACTCTTGACTTGATCTTCATGAGTTAATCAGGGATGTAACAGTCTTGAATGCTATATACATATTCACTTCACAACCTCATAGAATTACCCTGTACAAACAAGTAGGAGTGCTCCAAAGTATCAATATTACCTTTGATATACCTTTGAAGAGTTTTGAGAGTTTCACTACTCTTGGAGCCCGGCCATGGGCCAGGCTCGTATATTGGTAGTATTGGCTAATTTTGATAGTTTAGGTATTGGCCTAAAATTGAGTACTGTATAGGTATCATTATCAGTGGGTGTTGGCTTATTTTGGTGGTATCAGTACATGTATGGCATCTGCCTAAAACTGAGTATGTATTGATATCAGCAAAAATTTTGTTAAATGTCCCATACCTGGAGATACCTTGAGAGGGTTTCGAGGGTCAACGACCCTGCAGCCCAGTCTGTGACCAGGCCTTGCGTCCCTACAAAGCAAGTACGTGTACAGTGATACCCCGAGTTTCGTACAGCTCCCAACTCGAACAATTATGTAAGTGTATTATTGTAAGTGCTTTTGTAAGTGTATTTTTGGGGGTCTGGAACTGACTAATCTAATTTGCATTATTCCTTATGGGAACATATTCGTTCGGTAACAGCCCTCGAACAGCCTTCTGGAACGAATTATGACCGAAACTCGGGTACCACTGTATGACTTCAACAGTCGGAGAATTGACTGGGACAAGACGAAAAAAAAAATGAGACATTGCTTAGGAAACAACCCTGAGCACCCTAAACCCACATCATGGATGGAAAAGTTAAATATGGAAGCATATAATTTTTGTTTTTTTTTCATCAAACCAGCCATATCCCACCAAGGCAGGGTGACCTAAAAAGAAAACCAGAAAAAGTTTCTCTTTTTAAATTTAGTAATTTATACAAAAGAAGGGGTTACTAGCCCCTTGCTACCGGGGTTTTAGTTGCCTCTCATGGCTTATGGAGGAAGAATTCTGTTCCACTTCCCCATGTAAAATCTCTTCTTTCTTTCAACACACCGGCCGTATCCCACCGAGGCGGGGTGGCCCAAAAGGAAAAATGAAAGTTTTTCCTTTTACATTTAGTAATATGTACAGGAGAAGAAGTTACTAGCCCCTTGCTCCCGGCATTTTAGTCGCTTCTTACAACACACATGGCTTACGGAGGAAGAATTCTGTTCCACTTCCCCATGGAGATAAGAGGAAATAAACAAGAAATAGAAAATAGGAAATAGAAAACCCAGAGGGGTGTGTGTATATATATGCTTGTACATGTAGTGTGACCTAAGTGTAAGTAGAAGTAGCAAGACGTATCTGAAATCTTGCATGTTCATGAGAAAGAAAAAAGGACACCAGCAATCCTATCATCATGTAAAACAATTACAGGTTTCCGTTTTATACTCACTTGGCAGGACGGTAGTACCTCCCTGGGTGGTTGCTGTCTACCGACCTACTACCTAGGCCCATGTAAAATATGTATGAAATATGTTTCACTGAGAAAGCTTACAAGATGATGCAGGTGTGAAAAATAAAGTAGAAAAATATACAAAATAAGAAAAGGAGAGATTACCTATATAGAGCTGAAACTTGCACATTCATTCCAGACAGAAGAAGCACAAATGAACAAAAAGCCTTCCAAAAAATTACAAAAACCTAAATATTTCTGCATGTATATGGAAAATCCAAGTGAAGAACCATCTGTAGAATTGGACCATAACTCACAAATGGTTCATTATGAGAGAGAAGTGAGCAAAAATCTTAAAAGATCAGCATGAATCAGTGTTCAGCAGTCCAATACAGTTGACCTTCAATGAACTTGGTAGTTATGTTCCTGAAAATCCCGTATTACCCGAAATCGTATTAATCAAAAAGGAGAATATGTAGCTAATAGGGTTACTTTCTAGATCTTTTAGATCTCGTAATGATATAAAAGAAAATGTAATTGTAGATAGATATAGTGAGGTGTGCATACTGTTGTTAAAACATTATATGTTTTTTTTTTGTTTTTGTTTTTTCAACAAACTGGCCACATCCCACCAAGGCAGGGTGGCCCAAAAAGAAAAACAAAAGTTTCTCTTTTCAAATTTAGTAATTTAAGCAGGAGAAGGGGTTACTAGCCCCTTGCTCCGGGCATTTTAGTCGCCTCTTACAACATACACGGCTTACGGAGGAAGAATTCTGTTCCACTTCCCCATGGAGATAAGAGGAAATAAACAAGAACAAGAACTAGAAAGAAAATAGAAGAAAACCCAGAGGGATGTGTATATATATGCTTGTACTTGTATGTGTAGTGTGACCTAAGTGTAAGTAGAAGTAGCAAGACGTACCTGAAATCTTGCATGTTCATGAGACAGAAAAAAGACACCAGCAATCCTACCATCATGTATATGTATGTATTGTACTTAAAAAGGTTATATAAACAAATTTTTTCATGGTTGCTGGTGCACTCGGTCACTGAGATGAGAGACTGGGAAAAATAGTACATGTATATTATATTCTGTATTTTTTTTTTTTTTTATTAACACCCTGGCCGATTCCCACCAAGGCAGGGTGGCCCGAAAAAGAAAAACTTTCACCATCATTCACTCCATCACTGTCTTGCCAGAAGGGTGCTTTACACTACAGTTTTTAAACTGCAACATTAACACCCCTCCTTCAGAGTGCAGACACTGTACTTCCCATCTCCAGGACTCAAGTCTGGGCTGCCAGTTTCCCTGAATCCCTTCATAAATGTTACTTTGCTCACACTCCAACAGCACATCAAGTATTAAAAACCATTTGTCTCCATTCACTCCTATCAAACACGCTCACGCATGCCCGCTGGAAGTCCAAGCCCCTCGCACACAAAACCTGCTTTACCCCCTCCCTCCAACCTTTCCTAGGCCTACCCCTACCCCACCTTCCTTCCACTACAGACTGATACACTCTTGAAGTCATTCTGTTTCGCTCCATTCTCTCTACATGTCCGAACCACCTCAACAACGCTTCCTCAGCCCTCTGGACAACAGTTTTGGTAATCCCGCACCTCCTCCTAACTTCCAAACTACGAATTCTCTGCATTATATTCACACCACACATTGCCCTCAGACATGACATCTCCACTGCCTCCAGCCTTCTCCTCGCTGCAACATTCATCACCCATGCTTCACACCCATACAGGAGCATTGGTAAAACTATACTCTCATACATTCCCCTCTTTGCTTCCAAGAACAAAGTTCTTTGTCTCCACAGACTCCTAAGTGCATCACTCGCCCTTTTCCCCTCATCAATTCTATGATTCACCTCATCTTTCATAGACCCATCCGCTGACACGTCCACTCCCAAATATCTGAATACATTCACCTCCTCCATACTCTCTCCCTCCAATGTGATATCCAATCTTTCATCACCTAATCTTTTTGTTATCCTCATGACCTTACTCTTTCCTGTATTCACTTTCAATTTTCTTCTTTTACACACCCTACCAAATTCATCCACCAACCTCTGCAACTTCTCTTCAGAATCACCCAAGAGCACAGTGTCATCAGCAAAGAGCAACTGTGACAACTTCCACTTTACGTGTGATTCTTTATCTTTTAATTCCACACCTCTTGCCAAGACCCTCGCATTTACTTCTCTTACAACCCCATCTATAAATATACCTATTGAACAACCATGGTGACATCCTTGTCTAAGGCCTACTTTTACTGGGAAATAATCTCCCTCTTTCCTACACACTCTAACTTGAGCCTCACTATCCTTGTAAAAGCTCTTCACTGCTTTCAGTAACCTACCTCCTATACCATACATCTGCAACATCTGCCACATTGCCCCCCTATCCACCCTGTCATACGCCTTTTCCAAATCCATAAATGCCACAAAAACCTCTTTAGCCTTATCTAAATACTGTTCACTTATATGTTTCACTGTAAACACCTGGTCCACACACCCCCTACCTTTCCTAAAGCCTCCTTGTTCATCTGCTATCCTATTCTCCGTCTTACTCTTAATTCTTTCAATAACAACTCTGCCATACACTTTACCAGGTATACTAAACAGACTTATCCCCCTATAATTTTTGCACTCTCTTTTGTCCCCTTTGCCTTTATACAAATAACTGATTATTCTTCTTCTTTCAACAAACTGGCTGTATCCCACCTAAGCAGCGTGGCCCAAAAAGAAAAACAAAAGTTACTCTTTTTAATTTTTGTAATGTATACAGAAGGGGTTACTAGCCCCTTGCTCCTGGCATTTTAGTCACCTCTTATGACACGCATGGCTTATGGAGGAAGAATTCTGTTCCACTTCCCCGTGGAGATAGAGGGAAATAAATAAGAACACAAAAAGTAAGAAAGTAAATTAAAACCGAAAGATGTGTGTGTATATATATGCTTGTACATGCATGTGTAGTGTGACCTGAAATTATGCATGTTTATGAGACAGAAAAAAGACACCAGCAATCCTATCGTCATTTAAAACAATTACAGGCTTTCATTTTACAGTCACTTGGCAGGATGGTAGTACCTTCCTGGGCAGTTGCTGTCTGCCATCCTACTACCTAACTGAATTATTATTATTATTATATGTATTTATGAGGAAGCACGAAGCTAGTAATATGGTAGTTATACAATAACTCAGGTTCTATGGATGAGCCTAAGTACAAACTCCATCTCTAGTACTCACATCTATGTCAGTAGTCCCTGTGTTGTGTGTGAGGCAGCTCAGCAACTGCCATTGTTCTCTCTCTGTGTGTTTGTCCATGCTAAATTAACCCTCTCAAATTTTTTAAAAGCTCTTTGTTCTTACTTGAGCTAATGAATTTTGCCTCTTGCATATTCCATCCCTTTAAATTGCATTAAGAAAGGCAGAGGTGCAACTCTGCACCAGCAGTATATGCACACACTCTTCAGTCTTTCTTATACTCATTGTGATTTACTGTGCTGCATAATTGATATGCAGAGTATTTCTAAAATTTTTTTTTTTTTTTTTTTTTTATTATCACACCGGCCGATTCCCACCAAGGCAGGGTGGCCCGAAAAAGAAAAACTTTCACCATCATTCACTCCATCACTGTCTTGCCAGAAGGGTGCTTTACACTACAGTTTTTAAACTGCAACATTAACACCCCTCCTTCAGAGTGCAGGCACTGTACTTCCCATCTCCAGGACTCAAGTCCGGCCTGCCGGTTTCCCTGAATCCCTTCATAAATGTTACTTTGCTCACACTCCAACAGCACGTCAAGTATTAAAAACCATTTGTCTCCATTCACTCCTATCAAACACGCTCACGCATGCCTGCTGGAAGTCCAAGCCCCTCGCACACAAAACCTCCTTTACCCCCTCCCTCCAACCCTTCCTAGGCCGACCCCTACCCCGCCTTCCTTCCACTACAGACTGATACACTCTTGAAGTCATTCTGTTTCGCTCCATTCTCTCTACATGTCCGAACCACCTCAACAACCCTTCCTCAGCCCTCTGGACAACAGTTTTGGTAATCCCGCACCTCCTCCTAACTTCCAAACTACGAATTCTCTGCATTATATTCACACCACACATTGCCCTCAGACATGACATCTCCACTGCCTCCAGCCTTCTCCTCGCTGCAACATTCATCACCCACGCTTCACACCCATATAAGAGCGTTGGTAAAACTATACTCTCATACATTCCCCTCTTTGCCTCCAAGGACAAAGTTCTTTGTTTCCACAGACTCCTAAGTGCACCACTCACTCTTTTTCCCTCATCAATTCTATGATTACACCTCATCTTTCATAGACCATCCGCTGACACGTCCACTCCCAAATATCTGAATACGTTCACCTCCTCCATACTCTCTCCCTCCAATCTGATATTCAATCTTTCATCACCTAATCTTTTTGTTATCCTCATAACCTTACTCTTTCCTGTATTCACCTTTAATTTTCTTCTTTTGCACACCCTACCAATTCATCCACCAATCTCTGCAACTTCTCTTCAGAATCTCCCAAGAGCACAGTGTCATCAGCAAAGAGCAGCTGTGACAACTCCCACTTTGTGTGTGATTCTTTATCTTTTAAACTCCACGCCTCTTGCCAAAACCCTCGCATTTACTTCTCTTACAACCCCATCTATAAATATATTAAAACAACCACGGTGACATCACACATCCTTGTCTAAGGCCTACTTTTACTGGAGAAAAATTTCCCTCTTTCCTACATACTCTAACTTGAGCCTCACTATCCTCGTAAAAACTCTTCACTGCTTTCAGTAACCTACCTCCTACACCATACACTTGCAACATCTGCCACATTGCCCCCCTATCCACACCTGTCATACGCCTTTTCCAAATCCATAAATGCCACAAAGACCTCTTTAGCCTATCTAAATACTGTTCACTTATATGTTTCACTGTAAACACCTGGTCCACACACCCCTACCTTTCCTAAAGCCTCCTTGTTCATCTGCTATCCTATTCTCCGTCTTACTCTTAATTCTTTCAATTATAACTCTACCATACACTTTACCAGGTACACTCAACAGACTTATCCCCCTATAATTTTTGCACTCTCTTTTATCCCCTTTGCCTTTATACAAAGGAACTATGCATGCTCTCTGCCAATCCCTAGGTACCTTACCCTCTTCCATACATTTATAAATAATTGCACCAACCACTCCAAAACTATATCCCCACCTGCTTTTAACATTTCTATCTTTATCCCATCAATCCCGGCTGCCTTACCCCCTTTCATTTTACCTACTGCCTCACGAACTTCCCCCACACTCACAACTGGCTCTTCCTCACTCCTACAAGATGTTATTCCTCCTTGCCCTATACACGAAATCACAGCTTCCCTATCTTCATCAACATTTAACAATTCCTCAAAATATTTTTATAATGATAAATATTATTTCCACAGATCACTATTGAAGAGAAGCCCACAGTGGAAGAACTGCCACAGACTACTCCGCCACCGACCCTCACTGACGACATCATGGACAGCCCCATCCAGATCCACACCACCAAGACAGATGACCGGCAGGTGTCAATCTTTGCTCAGCCTGGCATCTTGGCTGGTAGGTTGTGCGAGAAATGTACTATACATACTCTACTTGAAATAGAACATTCACTGAAATTTACCATTATTTTACTGTATAATGAAAATCTTTCTCTCCTTCCTCATCCTTTTCAAATCCCGTTATATATAGGTTACTCTGAAATTATAGTGTATGTAGTGTCCAACAGTATATGATTAAAAATGCCTTTAAGTATCCAGGAGCTGTATCATCAAGTGCCCTGACCCCACTGTTTAAACATTTATGTTATCAAACTGCAGTGAAATTGGATACTAAATTGAAGCGATATTATAAACTATAAAATTCATCCATTGACATTGCAGGTCTGGAAAATGCAGAGCTCTCACTGTTTATATCGATTCAGTCAAAATTATTGGGGATACCTCATCTCTCTCAAACTGTACTCCCTTCAGTGGAGTCATGAAAGATACATAATTATTTTTGCCTGGAAAATACTAGGACTAATTTTGAATCCACACATAGAAATTATTTCTTTTAAAAGAGGAAAGCTTAGTAGACAATGCAAAATATACTCAGTGAAAAGCATGGATTACCAGAAGGCTACCAGAAGACAATTCCAGGAGGTCAGTGCCCCATGGCGTGGTCCCAAACCACTTGTGGTTGATGGCCTATGCAACCAGGCTGTAGTAGCTGTGTGTAGTGTAGCATACACACTACAGACAGGCTGATCAGGAACTGACTTCATGAACTTGTTAAGTTTCCTTTACAAGACAACTAGAGGTCTGTTGGTAATTCCTTTTACATATGAAGGGAAGGTGTTGAAAAGTCTTTGCTCCTTTAAAGTTACTTATTGAGTTATATTTTAGTATATTCATTGCATCTCTGCTTTTCTTTGGGAGTATTTCTGCACTGTCTGCAGAGCCTCTTGCTTTTGCAGAGAGCAATTTTGGTGGGGAGATTTGGGACTGATTCTTCCATAAACACTACTGCAAATTATGCATCTCTTGTGCCTAAATTCCAAGGAGTACAATTTGAGGGACTTCGAGCATTACCATTGATTTAAGTGCTTGACTGAATTTATAGGGGCACTGAAGTTTTTTTGGACACTCTCCAGATCTGCAATTATGCCTTCCTCTAAAGGGGCTGTTAGTGTACAGCAATATTCCAGCCTAGAGAAAACGTCTTAAAAGGGTATCATCATTGGCTTGATATCTAGTTTCCTTGTGGTTGTGATAAAAATACTGTCATGAATAAAGAATTGACGTAAGTGTAAAGGATCCAGACCTCTTACTCTCTCTAAAGAAGGAACATGACAAATTCCTCCAGGCAGTTCCTAATAAGTTGGGCAGTAATATGTCATATGTTTGATTGCTTGCTGGTAATAACATGCCCAAATGTGGAGCTTGGCAAGTCTCTAATTAGCAACATTTTTATAATGCATAAGTTCTCTAAAGGCCAAATTTTATTAGTGTCTAAATTGCTTGGAAATTATCAAATAATTTTCATTTTATGTTAAAACCAACATTTATTTTATTTTTTAGAATTTACAACATGTTGAGTATGAAGGGTAAACATATGTTGCAAAGCTAGCTTTTATTGGGATATTTTGATTTACAATGAGCTTTGTGAAGCTCTACACAGTAAAACATTATCCCAATGAAAGCGTGTTCAGCAACATGTGTGCCTTCTTCACCATTGTTGATAGTATGCTATTTCGATCCATTGGTTGTATGCCACAATTGTAAGAATGGAATAGGTTTTAGTAAAATGGCTTGTGCATTTAAAAAGACTCGTTGATTAAAAAGGAATGTTAATCTGGTGTAGGGGATATCCCAGGAAGAATTGGAAGAAAGGTTTAAGAGATAGGACTTGCATGCAGCAGGTATTTGTGACCATGTTAGATCAGAGTGGAGGTAATTTTTTTATTTTTTATTCAAGATTCTGTGGGAGTGTGAGCATGAAAATATTCTTGAAGGGATTCAGGGGGAAATCAGTTAGGTGTAAGTTTATTTACACATAAGTACAGTTACCATACATAGTGTAACTTACCTAGGATAACCTAAAAAAGTCAGACAGGTGGGAGGTACATTGGGTGGGGATGTAATATTTTGGGGATCATCATTGGATCATGATATTTTGTCTATATAAGTGATGATTTTTTTTCTTTTGAGTCACCCCCTATCTTGGTGAAAAACAGTAAATGTTTAAAAAAATTATATTGTACAGTTTTTTTTTTTTTTTTTTTTTTTTTTTTCAACAAGTCGGCCGTCTCCCAGTATATTTATTAAAACATTATAAAATACTATTTTGTATACTTACTCTATACAGTAAGTATATACAGGTATTGCACATTTAACATGAATACTGTATGCCTATTGCTCTGTTTTATATTGTATGTTTTGTTGCATGTACAAATGATTCCTGTACTATAATGCGAATGCTACAGAGGAATTTTTACCAACAGCATTTATTGGCGGTGCAGTTGTGGGGCTCCTGTGTGCCATCTTGCTGGTGATGTTCATTGTTTACCGTATGAGGAAGAAGGATGAAGGTTCATATCCCCTGGATGAACCCAAGCGCATGCCACTCACCTCGTCCTATTCTCCCAATGATAAGGAGATCTATGCCTAAACACATTCCTCGCCCAGAGTATCAACTGGAGCAGGGAGGGGAGCTTTGTCCCCACCCAAGAGCCAACTGGAAGATGAAAACGATGTCGATGGTACATCCCAACACCACCACACCCACCGTACCACTACTGTGTATGGCAGGGATGAGGGAACTAATAGCATCCCAACCCCTACCATGTAGGGGACCTTATTAGGACAAAATGAGTTCAGAATTTTTTATTTATTATATATATCAAAATTCTCTTCCCTCAAATTCCCTATCCTCCAGTATTTTGAGGGAGCTATATTTGGGATGCATGTTAACTTCATTTTCTTAAATATCATGGAATTGGTTATATAGGATCTTGATTGTTCAGTTACTTTGTTTTTAATTTATCATTTATATCATGATAAATTATTCCTTGGAAAATATGAGCATTTATTAATAAGAATAAACAAGATTCTGGTTAACCAAAGCCTTAATTATGAATGCATTGCACTATTTTGGGACCCAAAGAGTTAACAATAACATCATATCAACACAAGTATTTTGATGCTGTTTATTGTAACAACTGACCCATGAGGTGAAGTTCAGTTGTTAATATCACATTTTTCTTAGTTGTCACTTCATCAGTAAAGAGTTCACAGATCATTCATGTGCCAGTCTTGCTGGCTTCTTGAAAGCTCAAAAAACAGGGTAGGAAACTAGGCTTATTTTAGGTTTGTTCAGTAAAACTTTAATTTGGAAACTGAGATGTGAAGGATGTGTTCTAAAGTTTGAGCTACAATACTTTCCTTTGGGGCCACTTTTTATATTGGAGATGTGTTGTTTTTATAATTCTTTATCATGTTTTAATTCATTTTGCCAAGAGATCTCTTGATCGGCTTTTTAAAAATAAAATTTAGTTCCACGAAATGCACATTTCTGTACCAAATTTTTATACTGTGATTTTTTTGTGATTATAGTAAATTCTTGGGTTGCTAAGAGGGGCTATACTGAGTGCATTTTTTTTTTTAAGCTTTGTATTTTATTTGAGATCAAGAGCAGCACCTTAATCCTATTTATTTTGTTTCAGCCTTATTTACTCATGCTTTAAAGAATAATATTTTGTATTTAGAAAATGTAATATGGGAATTCAATTTATTCTTAATATTTATGTTTGAACAAAAAGTGCGCCTTGCTTATGGTTCTTTTTCAGCTTTATCATTGTCATCATCATCATCCTCATCATTTAGGACTAAAGATCCTGTTCATTATGCAATAAAGTAAAATTAATGGATAATTACCCAAGGATACTATTTTATCTCCAGTATAAAACTGTGGTTATTTCAACGCTAATTTGAGTGTGATTTATTTTAATATAAAGTTCTTTCTTTCCTTAATAGGCATTTGCAATATATGGTGTTAGAGAATGGGTCTTATTGAGGGAAATTCCTGCCTTACTGTAATATTTTACTCTTTGAATGTGATGCTCTTGACCAGTCATATATATTTTATGACTTAAAGGTTAGAAACAAAATATTTTGTGAGATTGTGCAAGTTTTTTTTAATATTTGATATTACTTTCTATATTATATAAATAGTCAACACCTTCATTTATCATTTTTAATGAGCACAGTAGTAGTTATGTTGACGAGGATTGTTGTTGTGCTAGGGTTGCCTGGCTTATCTCTTACCTTAGGTAGAGGCCGCATTGCTGGACTCCGGTACCATGCACGGCATGTCTGGCATGATGGGCCTAGAGATTGACACTGTCCAAGATCAGCCAGGGTGTGATGATTATGTAGGCTTGTGGGCTGCTGGCAGCAACAGACTCGTTGATTAGGCAGTCAACAAGAAGTCTGGCTTTTGGCTAGGCTGTGAGTGTAAAACAACCCTTGAAATCGGTCACAGGTATGGCTAGTATGGGTGTCCACATCATATACACTAAGTGGGGGTTGGTTAGTATTGTTCCTGGGCACTCCTAGCTTACCTTCTCTCATAGTGGACCAGGCTTGCCTTGCTTCACTAGTTTTGTGGTCCATCTACCTGGCTCGAGTGATATACTCAGATGGCCTAGATAACCTAGGTAGTTTTATATAAAGAACTTTCTTATTTGAGAATATTTAATGTAATTGTGGCTTTGGATTGGGTATTTGTGCTCATTTGTAATAGAAACAAATAGGGATGTGAAAATGAAAAGAATAATTTCATTTAATATGTTATGTGCTTTATTTACTCTTAGGATAATCAAACTCACATTCTTGCATTAGTTTTATGAATAAATAAAAACAAGGGAAAAGATTCAAAGTGGGATGGGAATGTCACAAAAATAAACACACAAGCAATAACAGTAAATTAATGGTCTGGAGCCACACATAAACAGCTCAGCATTGACCCATGGTTAGCTGTCTCACAATGTCCTGATATTGCTGCACTCTACATGCTCCATCTGCAGTAACAGGTTGGACAGAAAAAAAAATCTTTCCTCATCACTGGACGAATGGTTTGTCCGATGAAAGGTTTAACACTCGACTTGTTCTGTTGGAAATTAAACTTAGCATCAGTGGTATTAGAGATCATAAGCTGGATTACTTTATTGGCGGATATTTGTTTAAGATGCAGTGTAAAGGGGTTTCAATATATTTTTATAATTTGATTGGAGAATCAGTTGTTGAATTTTAATAGTGCAACATTGTTTTGAGTTTAGATTGTGTTTATTCAATTACATCATAAAAAGCTTCCTCCCATTATTTTCTTTTCTTTTAAGAGATACAGTTATGTTTTTAGTGTATTTGCTGTTAAGAGTTTCAAGTAGAGATCATTGGTGATTGAGGAGCGACCCACAGATAGAAATTATGCATTTATTCCCATGGGAGGAAGTATGGCTGTGCAACTCTCAATGTTCAACCATAAGCTGCTAGAAGTGAACTTGGAAGTGTGTATGCCTCCCACCAACACACTTGGAGGTGTGTGTGTGTGTGTGTGTATGTGTGTATGTGTGTGTGTTTGTGTGTGTGTGTGTGTATGTGTGTGTGTTTGTGTGTGTGTGTGTGTTTGTGTGTGTGTGTGTTTGTGTGTGTTTGTGTGTGTGTGTGTGTTTGTGTGTGTGTGTGTGTGTGTGTGTGTGTGTGTGTGTGTGTGTGTGTGTGTGTGTGTGTGTGTGTGTGTGTGTGTGTGTGCGTGTGCATGTGTGCTCCTCCCATTATCACTACCACTTTGAGGTGTGTGCCTCCCACCATCACCATTCTTTGAGGTGTGGATGTATGTGTGTGTATGTGTGATACCCACGACTACCAGTCTTCGAAGTATTTGCGCCTCCCACATCTACACTTCAGGGTGTGTGTATGTGCCTCCCACTACTACATATCGAGGTACATGTATGTGCCTCCCACCACTACGTCAGGGTGTGTGTATGTGCCTCCTACCACTACACATCGAGGTGTGTGTGTATGTGCCTGCCACCACTGGGCTTCGAAGTTTCTCTCCTACTATCAAGTTAAGAAGTCTCTCCCACCATCAAGACCTACTGAATGTTCTCGCTGATGGACAGTGATCTACTTAAATATAAACAAAGATAACCAAATATATATGGTATGTAAGATGTAGTGTCCACTATCTGAGGTTGCAAACACACTTTATATTATTATTATTATTATTATTATTATTATTATTATTTTATTATTATTAATTTTTTGTCATTATTATTATTTGTCATTATTATTATTATTATTATTATTATTATTATTTATTATAACAGATAAAATAAGATGTTGTTCACTCAGACATCACTTAACTAAAATTTACTGGTACTGACTATTTCTAAATTTGATAATTAATTATTTTGTCTTACTGTATTTTAAAGGTTACAGTACAGACCAAGACATGGTGAAAAGGTGGCCTTTGGCAAGTGTATACAATTGCTTGTGTGCACACACACACTATGTGCACACGTGCACACATGCACACACGTGTGCATACACACAAAAAAAAAAAAAAAAGCCTATATGCACACATAGAAGCTGTGTACACATGCACACGCATACACTCACACATGTAAGTATATGTCCACACAGATACATACACACAGATAGGCGAGTACATACATGCACACACAGATACACACAGTACACGCACACACAGATACACTCGCACAGATACATGTGCACACAGATACACAAGTACACATATACATGCACACACACACAAAGCACACAAGTGAAGTGAAGTGAAGAGGTGGGGGCCAGGAGCTAGGACTCGACCCCTGCAACCTCAACTAGGCGAGTACAACTAGGTGAGTACAGATACACACACACACTAATTTTGTTGTTTTTTCTAGGTTATGAGTAAGTAAGTATGCGAGCCCAAGTGTTGAATGGTGTTACATGTGTTGTGAGAGGTGTGGTAGATACTGTGCTGGCCCGAGGTTCATTCTATGTATTACTCTCAACTAACCAACTAACTAACTAGCAGTCACCTTATTATGTGTTGTACTGCACAACTGTTTTATAATGTCTGTTCCAGTCCAATCCGAACCTTTAGATTTAGCCAGGGTATCTCGGGGGAGAGTTTTCCATTGATCAAGCGTGCCAAGTATATTTTATTCTCTTTATTCATATTATTTAATTAATATTTTTAAAGAATAATAAACTACCATTTTTTTTTGCCCTTAATTTAAAAGCTTCTGGATTCCAATAACATTGTAGTACTGTAATCTGATGTAGAAACTGCTGTCACATTACTATACTCCTATATGCGTCACTCACTCAAAATTTGAGGCTTATTTGAAACACTAGAAACCAGGAGCTCTCAGGTAATCCAATATTCATATTTTTCAGTCACTGTAATTAGTTTTTCTTCATCACTGAAGGTGATTACTCACCAGTCACTTCAGTGCTCCAACAAGCAGTGCTAAGAATCTGTCAAGAGCTTTTCACCACAGAAACTTTCATCCATAAGAAATTTTGTTTAAACTTGGCAGGATTCTGTTATCAGAGCTGTATGTGTACAAATGTGGTGAGATCAACAAGCAAGTCATGTAGGTCACTATTAGGCTTTACTCTTATGTTTATCAACAAAAAACAGGGAGGCCTATAGAAGGACCTGCCATTGACTTGAGTGTGACTGATCCTGTCTGAGATAACTATCAACTGGGGACTCTTTGGTGTCACTCACTCAGCTTAATAACAACCTACCTGCACTCGCCTTAAAGATTGACACTTTTTTTATTACCATATTTTCCGGCGTATAAGGTGCACGACAGAAGTATCGTAATGGTAAATCATGTTCAGTGGCTAATTACCCTCTTACTTTATGCTAAAGTGTAACATAAGCCTACCCTTGACCCTGACTTTCACACATGTAAGGCGCAGGCTGATTTTTTACCATGACTTTTTATGAAAAAAATAGGCCTGCTTTATATGCCAGAAAATATGGTATGTATTTGTTTTGTAGAAAGAAGCTGAATTCTGGCAGTAGTTCCCAACATGTGGTATATAGTTTATATTTTTATTACATTAATAGTTGAGGAAGATCTTTTATGTTTAAACTTGGTATTAAAAATGTCAGTTAGTTATTTTTAATAGCATATAATGTCACTATTGTATATAGCTTCTATGGGTGATACCACAGGTGAAAATTTTGTAAGGGTGATAGCCAAAGATGAAACATGGTAGAGAGATAGATGTGTGTATGAGGGAGTGGAGTATCACCAAGGTGTTGTCATGCTGAGGGAGCTCACCACTGACTGTGTCAGCTGATCTGAGCCGCAGCTAGCATTAGTCACAGCGGCTTTTTTTTTTTTAATTGATTTCACAATAAAAATTAATGACCACCCTATTTTAGATTTGCATCAGCTGACTGTCATGATTGTGTGTATAGTATTTTGTAAAGGTGAGTTTGGGTCACAAGGATGTAGGTGGTCCCCAGTCTAACTCATTATGGCATTATGATCACTGTGAGTGCTGAGCAATCGTCTCCAGTCT